CTCTGTGAATGGAAAATCAATATAGTAAATTAAAAAACATTTGATACTTGATATTATTACACAATATAGATTATGATAATCATTTCTTTTAACATTTCACGTAGTGATTCTACATTCGATAGTTTGATTCGTATTTTATTGAGTATCGATTTTTTTCAAACAACCTTAATTGATCAGTTGTTAGAAAGATTGCCAACGTTCATTTCAGAGTCTGATCATGATATTATTGAGTCTCCCATCCCGCAATTGATTTTAAAACAATTGAAATGGTTAGATAACATCGTAAATCCTCCGCAATTAACGGAAAAAATATTAGAGGCATGTATTATTTGAATGTTATCAATCTTAAAAATTCAGAATACACTTTTATCTCAACAATGTTTTAAAGTTTTTTTTCTCTTCGTTTTTGCATAAAGATGATCCCAATTACACCATTAGGCATCCAAAAGGAAATCATAACAAGTCTCCCTGACATTATAATTGATTCTGAACAAAAGGTTCATAATTATGTTTCACTAAACATGTATGATATTTGCATATAATATTTAGTTTATTTATAGTCAAAATTTTTACGCTTTAGACAGTCATTAAGGAATTAAGAAAGTTGATTGATAATGACTATCGACTCATCGTTCCCATACTTGATGCACTACCTCATTTCACGCTTGAAGAAGATCTGATGTGTAATGTTCAACAAACAGTTTTCGATCGACTTGAATCCGCAGATTTAGATGATTTGGCCGTTGTCGTAAAGTTCTTATTGCAAACGTCCATTCCAGATGATGCATACAATGTAATTTTCGTATGCAATGATTTTATAATGATTATTGTCCTCAGTTCTCACAATATAAAGTTATTTTGCAGGTAGTACAGCAGATTAGAGATAAAGTCGATTTCCATTCAATAGGCGAGCTGCAAAGTGAAGCCCTGAATTTAAAGAAGCATCAAAAGAGAAATAAAGAACAGATTCCGGAGGCTTTGATACTAGACTCGATTAAATTGGGTATCGACATCCACAAGTTTGTTAAAGATGCATGGTTAAAAGCAATCAATGATGTTAATGCAAAGGTATCGTTTTAATAGTTGTCGATTTGATAATTTGAATATTTTTCTAGTGTCTAACATTTAATTATACGTCAACAGAGCAATCATAAAATAATCGATATATTGATTTTATTGATTTTGCACTCCATTCCAAGCACAAAGAAAAAAGTTGAAACAATCTTTCATAAAAAGATTGTGAGTGGATTGTTTACACCAGATCTTTTAGAAAAGACAATAAGGCATCACTTTGAAGGTTTACGAGAATATTTTAGTGATATTCTTTTATTGTCAGAGTGTCTTCTTCGATCAAGTCAGCAACAAACCACCGTGTCACGTGCAGCATGTACTTTGTATCACAGTGCATTCATGGTATTCGAGCCATACCAACAGCAAGAAATTGTAGCGTCATTAGTAACTCATATTGGATGTGGCTCGCCTATTGAAATTGAATCGGCACTTTCAGTGCTGTCACATTTAGTTAAGACGGATATAAAAAAGATGAGCCGTTTTGCAATTTTTGTAAAAGGACTTTTAGATTACTTGGATAATCTTAATATAGATCAGATTCGAGTCTTGTTCGATGTGATTAGCAAATTAGTTTATGAGGTGAGGTTTTATGAACTACGACCATATTTAAGGGATATCAATATCAAAATTCGTTAATCGATTTACTTAAATGGTTTAAAAAATCTAAGGATTCAAACTATGATGGTTCAAATGGTGGTTTACTCGCCGAGTTCTCAATTGTCATTCAGAAACAGTTGTCTAATCCTAACGAGAAGTATAAACAGATAGGTGTTGTAGGTGCACTCGCTTTAGTGCAAACATTGGGTTCTACTCAGAATGCAGAAAACCCTAATCACGAAAGTATGTTTCATAAAATTGATTACATATTTTGTATGATCAGCCCTATCGCTATATAGATATAATTGTTTTCTATTCATAGAAATGATAAATACTGCTATAGAAAGCTTCTCAAAGATTGAACGTTATTGTGCACGATCAATGGTAAATTTAGTTTATGAATAAATGTTGCATTATTCTTTTTAATTTATCAATTTTTTTTTTTTTTTTTAATTCGTAGACGTGCCTTGCATTTGCTTATGATGAACTCGCATGGTTCATATCTAACGGAATTTTGGAGCGTAGTTTAGTTGATTGGATTTATGACAAGGTTGAGAACATGTTTTCAGATACTTATATAATAGACAACGATGACTTGGCCAAATTAAGAGATGATCATTACTATTTAAACGGAATGCCAATAGAAATTTGGTTTGAAGCAGAGTGTGATGTAAGAATAAATTTGATCATTCGAATTACTTGCAAAGCTATATAATAATCTTATAAAATACTCGGTTTATATTAGACTGATGATTTACCAAAGTTTAACGTTTACCCTATGTTGTGCGAACCTCATGTTTCGCAAGAATTACGTATGCAACATCTGTTCAAGAGAGATCATGTAATATGTTGCTGTTCGATGTTGAGATTAGTACAAGCTTGTCTAAAAGTAAAAGAGGGAAGCATGACAGAAATCGGTGCTTTGTTAAGCACTGGGTTGCTCATGTACGAAAAAGTTGATATTGATGTATGAAATTAATTACTATATGTTGGCTATTTCGAATGACCTAATTTTATGTCAGTATGTTATTAATGATGTTTCCTTTATTAATAGCGTATGAAGTCGGACGATTACTCTAAATTAATGCGTGAGACAGCCTGCGATGCATTATTTTATTCTATAAATTGGTGAATAAATTTATTAAATGATATCTACTTGAATACCTAACTTGTTTGCAGTACATTTTTAACTGCTTTGTTATGAATTCCAGGTGTCGGGAACTCGTTAACGACTTCTGGGGCACGGATGTAGACAATCATAGTAAGTGTTAAGCCATCTTGTATTGCCCAAAATATTCGAATTTTGTCCAATATTATGGTATTTTATCAGGGAATGTCGTTGCGAAATTACGACATGTTATCGAGCTTGAAAAGTTATTCAACGATTTATTGGAAATAACGCCCTCTTAACAACGTCTAAAGAAGCATAACGAGCAATCAAGGCAAACTCATCAGAATTGTTTCCAGGTTCCGTTTTTTTCG